ACTCTACATTACTCAGTGAAGAACACAATTACCCGAAATTATACAAGAAAGATGTCATTGCTGTCATGCCATAATTTTAATGAATTTTCCAAAAAAAAAAAAAAAGTAATAACAATGACAATGGCTATCCACACACTAGAAGAAAGGCTGTGAGACTCCACCTGCTAAAGAAAGAATGAGTAAAGGGCTGATGGAAATTAAGGAGTGCAAGAAAAAGGAGACAGACCCTGTTTTTCTTAGAACCTCAGGTGGCACAATTGACAACCAAAACATTTAAAGATCAGCTGGAAAAAAATATCCATTCTGCCATAGCACTTTGCACAATATTTTTCGATCTCTGGTAGAGTGAGATGGGTTTGTGGTTGACTTGTGAATCAATCTGAGAGGTTTTGGTCAAAAGATTCGCACTTGATGCAACCAACACAAAAATATGGAGTGCAAAATTTCACCATTTTTTGGTTTGCCCAAAATTGGAAAATATTTGAATTCACTCTGGTGGAACCTGGCCCTTTTCCTCACAGAAATATGTAAACTGATGTGATCTGCCCATCATGAAAGTTTGAGAAGGATTTTTTCCTTTGAAAAGAGGGAATTTTACTGGTTGAATCAGTGACTTTTGCCATAAAGGCCCCCTAAATTTGGGAAGTGGGCAAGCTGCAAAATACAATACCTTGTGTTTTTCAACAGAATAATGGAACAGAGAAATAGTTGATTGGAGGAATAACAATTAAGTAATCATGGTTGGAGCTGTGGGGAACCACTAGGCTTTCAAGCTAGTCCCTTTAAATTATCATACTGTTGTTATCATTATTATCATTATAAATATTATTATTTGTTACCATTTAATGATTAGTTGAATGTCAGTTAGACACTACATTCTTGAATCATCTTTCTCTTGAGGAATAGGGTACTCATAGATATGTGGGATGCTGGAGGTTTTCTGTTTGCATGTGAGACAAATGCTCTGCAACTATCAAAGACTGCAAATGGCTTTTGGTAAAGCACAATTTTTGTAGCATTGAAAAGAATTTATGATTTCAAAATCAGTGAAACTAAAAATGTGAAAGCTATTAAACTGAACTGTTACCAATTGATTTTCCTCATCTTCTAATAAATTCAAAGTGTACCTAAGACAAGTCTTTTCTGGAAGACACTGCAATAACTTTAGGTCAATTTGCATTAATTCTGAACAAGGGAATATAGTTTGCAATTTATTCTTGCAAGTCAGAATAACTGATGTCTTGTGTTTTGCTTTCATCATACAACATACTTATGAGGTGATTCTCAAAGAACAAGATAGTCTGTACCTTCCACCTAATCAAAAGGGCCTTTTAACTCTGGTCTGAGAGATGCAATGACTCAAGGGTAACAAACAACCTAGCTTTGGACAGTAGCCAAAAAAACTGGGTCAAGTTGACAAAGTTGAGGCTACTTAACAATTATTCCATGAGTGCGCGTTGGATATGTGATGATAGATGGCCAACAAGGCGCATAGTGCCGAGTTGGCTATAATCATCTCACATCCAACAGGCATCAGTGGAATAATTGTTTTATTAAAAAAAATGCCCCCAAGATATTAGACAAATCTTCTCTACTTTATTTTGTAAGAAGAAACCGGATGTTACAATGTACTGATATTAGATTATGGTATATTGGCTCATATACCATAATGGCTAAGCCAATAAAAAGTCTTGAATTGCATTATCCAATGATCCAGTTTTTAATAAATAGTTTTTTAACACCTTTTCAACACTGAACCCGATCCTCATCTCTAAAGGTTATTCTAATACCCAGAAAACTAGACCAAATTTAAGCTAATCTTCGCATTTATTCTCCTTATTAGAGACTTCATTGTTGGAAACGTACTGAATTACAAACCAAAAATAGAATTCACTTTGAAGCCATGAACTGAATAAAAGTTTCTCTTTAGAATCCAAATTCCCATTCCCATTTTTTTTTTAAGTTAAGGTCGACCTCTGATTTTTCTCACTCGATGATTATTTGAGCTATCAACAGCACATAGAAATAAAACGAAATAAAGTGCAGTTTTCTGTCAAGATGGTGATCCTTCAGGGAGATTTATACCTCTTCAACCCAACGGAAGGCCGTTTAAATTACCTATGACTTTTGCGCCTCTAAACATCCTCCTGAAAGTATTGCCTGCTGCCAAAAGGGACTCCGATTTGTAACAGAGGAAAAAGCACTGCACAGAAAAGTTTAAGTTGTTTCGTTGTTATGACGGTGAAACTATCGAAACTAACCAGAGCCAGCAACAAGTATCAAGACTCTTGTGCATGTTTCCTCAGAAATAATTAATAGCAATAATTTTTATGAACAAGTTTTGATTTGCTTTAAAAGCAGAGATGT